GGTCCTGGGCTGGGGGGACCCAGCCGGTCCTGCAGCCTCTCCTAAGGATCCTGGTCTGAGGATGCTCAGCTGGTCCTGGGACCCTGAGACCCTCATGGGCTTCCCCAACTGAGGGGTCCCTGGGGTGACGGCACAGTCCTTGGGGTGCTGAGCACCCTCCTGGGCGTGTCCCTGGGGCCGGGTCCCCGTCTGGGGGGCGGTGCTGGGACATCCCCGGGGGCAGGGGGCAGCCGGGGATTTGTGCTGGATGGAGCCGGGGAGGTGAGCTGAGGTGGGGATTTGGGGATCAGCACGCTTCTGCCGGCCAGAAATAAAACCTCCCAGGGCTCCAGGGGCAACGTGGAGGGGCCGAGGGGGTCTGTTTTGAAAAGGCGCCTGGGTGTTGTTAGGCAGGATTTCATTCCTGGGGGGTTGTCCCAGGCTGGGGTGACCCCACCAGCCCCGGAGGGGTTCAGAGAGCTGTGTGGACCTGGCCCTTGGGGCCCTGGTGGAGGGGTTAGGGCTGGTGGTTGGGCTTGATCTTGCAAAGTCTTTCCCAACCTTCATAGTTCTGAATTTTGGTGCGTTTCTGTAGCTGGGCTGGCTCCTCCTGAAATTTAGGAAGGGTGGAGGGGCTGCTGTAGAACAAACCTGCTAAAAATAGAGCCTGGGATGATAATCCTAATCCGGGAGGCCTTTCTTGGTGCTCTAGGAAAACTGCTCTTTAATCTTCTTTTCTTCTTCTCCCTAAAGCCTCTCTGCTAATCACCCTTAATTGCCTTTACCTCTCTTGATGTCTGTCCTTTGCTTTCCTGGCTGCCTCCGGGGTGAGTTTAGGAGGTGGCAGCCAGCTGAGAAACGTCCCCCACCCTAGTGACAACCTCCTGGGTCCTCCTCTGGGGACCATCTTGTCGTGGCCCTCTGGCCTCCATCCCAAGGGTGACACCTCCCCAAATATGAGGCTCTTCATTGCTCTCCTTGCTGCTGGGCTCCAGCCCTCTGTGGTTTTGGTGATCTGTGGTGGTCAGGCTGGATCCAAAACCACTTTAGGAGCAGTCAGATGGAGGGGAGGGACCCTCTGTTAGATATTGGCTGATGGGCTGCTCTGAAAATGCCAAAATTGGAGCAAATAAGGGGAAAAAATGCAGCTTCTACCCAAAATAATCAGGTAGCTGTGATGTTGCTGCTGGAGGCAGCTGGAGAACATGCCCTGCAGGTGCCTCACTGGGCTGGGACCCAAAGAGGAGGTTTGGGGAGCCCCGTGTCCCCCAGCTCTGGTTTCTCAGGCTCTTTTTGGTGCTCAGTGGGTGGTTTTTGGGGGGCCTGAGGTCGCCGAGGAGCTGTGTTTGGTGGGGCTGAGGAGCCCAGCTGGGGTTTTGGGAGGTTTGTGGCCTGGGTTCTAACCACACCTGCTGGTTTTGGTGAGGGCTCCTGGGTGTGCTGCTCCCCTCCTGAGGCAAAGATCATCTCTGCTCGCCCTCCCAGGGCAGCTTCACCCCCAGCAGCTGCCCCCAGATCCACCCCAGTGCTCCTCAGGGCAGGGAAGCACCATCAGCACCAGGGTGGGCAAGAGGAGGAGCTGCCCCCTCACCTCCAGGGCTGGTCACCTTATTGTTGGCCTCAGACAAAAGTGGTGGCTGGAGGCAACAGCCCCGTGGACTTCAGACCAAGCCAAGAACGTTGTCTGTAGAAGGCT